AGTAGTCTCTAATGATCTTTTGTATTTCTTCAGGGTCAGATGTGACTTCATCTTTTAGATGTGTTTCTTATAGATAACATATAGTGGGATTTTGTTTTATACAGTCTGAAAATATTTGTTCTTTTATTCCACCAGATCATAGTCCATACATACTTAATATCATTTTCAAATGCTTCTACATCTCCATCTTGTTTTGTGCTATTGTTTTGTCCATCTTGTGTTTCTTTTTCTCCTTTTTCTTGGCTTGATTCTATTTTCCTTCTTAGTTTTGAAATTGTAGACTCAATTTATAATTATTTTGGTGGTTAGCCTAGAAATTACAATGGGTATACCTAAGTTATCAAAATACAATATTCATCCATCTTTTACCTTTTCCCAGAAAATCCAAGGTGTTTAGGATGTTTTATTTCCATGTATCCTCTTCTGACTTATTTTTATCATGCCTTTTATTCTGTGTGTATTCATTTTTAATTTTCATTTTAAAGATGTGGGGTACAGTGTGACGATTTCCAAAAGAACTAGAAATTGACCCTCCATATGACCCAGCAATTCCCCTATTGGGAATATACCAAGAGGAACTCAAATCATTCTACAAAAAATATACCTATGCTTGTTGCATCTCTATTCACAATAGCAAAAACATGGACCCAACTGTGTTGCACATCGAAGCTGACTGGATAAAAAAAAATATGGTGAGGTTCTGGTAAGATGGCGATGGTATGGGTGGACTTGTGAGATTCTCTGAACATGAATTCCCAAAAAGACTCTTACTTTTCTTCCCCCATCCCCCAGCCCACCACCAGCCACGCTGATCTGAGGCTCAGGGACCTTCAGTCCCATGCAGGGCCGGATATTGTGGCCCCCTGCTGCTGCTGTTCCACCATACGTGACTCCCACCAGCGTGGGAGTCTTGGGTCTCAGCTCCCTCCCTGGCTGCATCAGCTCCCACCCAGCACCCAGCACCAAGCCACCGATCACTCAGTGAGGATCTGGGGGCCTGCCCCTCAGAGACACCAGTCCCATTACTGGCTGAAGTACCCCGTAGGGGGGCCACGGCCACTCTCACTGCTCACTACCGGCCCTTTGGAGCTTTGAAGCTCTGGAGCTCTGGGCCCACCCTGGCTAAGGTACTCAGCACGTGACCCCAAGCTTGGGGACCCAGACAAGCCGAGAGAAATGGATCTGCAAAACTGAAACTGCCTCGGCCATTCTCCAGGCAGAGATTTCCATTGCCCCACTCACCTATCAATAAACCCCACCTTGGTTCCAAAGGTAACATCGCTAAATATGAGACAAAGACCACCCCTATGCTGAATTAAACAAAAGCAACTCCCAGGCAACAGGCTAAAGAAAAAACAAACCCAAACTGTGAGTAAATCTAGCTGCTTGCAACGAAAAACAAAGGGGAGAGGACGGAGATCAGAGCTGAAGTGACTTTAGTCTAATCTCTTATTTTGACTTATGATTTTATCATTTTGACTGCTTATTTTGATGACTTTTGTGGTTTACATTCTGACATATACTGTTTCATGATTTTATTGGTCTGTCTCTGTGTAGCTATCAGTATTCTTTAGGGAA